AACGCTCAATTTCAAGAGAGAATTTCGAGCGGAAAGAGATGCCTCTCGTGTATTTACGATACGCGTTATCGCTTGAAACAACACACCACCACTATTAATAACAATTATATATCAGCAGGCCAGTAATGCTATTTTCTTTCGCATTCTCGCGATTCTTTCGTTCCTGATAGCGGCGCGTGCGCCGACTACGCACCGCGATCGCACGCACCGTGTGCATCGTGCGTGCGTACACGCGCCTTCTCTATCGCGGGTGCACCTACATACGTAACGTAGTTAGCCGGCTTGGCCGTGCCAAGGTTGGGAACCTTATCTAAGAGCTCAGGGTGTTTGACCCAACTGGGAAAACACATTGGCACTCGACGCGTTGCACACACTTCTCGTCACATGGTTTCACGCTCGATTCTCGCACCGAGTCTCATTCACGATCGACCAGGGAATTACAAGAAAGTACGAAGTACCATCTCTTCTCTTTTTTCTTTTCTCTCTTCGTCGTTGTTGTATTCGTAACGAACGTGTCGAGGACAGAGAGGATAGAATGGAGTAGAATTTAAAATGAGGATTTGAAATAAGGGAGTAAAAGCGAATCCTAATGTGTATGTATATTTTTTTGTGCTTGAAAATAAACGGAGGAGGAAAAAGAGGATTTTGTAAAAAATTAATTGATAATCGTTAAGAAAAAAAGAGATTGAAAATGATGAAATGTGTGATTATATATCGTAGATATAAAATTGTATGCAATATGAGAACTTTAAGTATTCTCTTTCTTGGGAGACGAACAGTTGAGGTCTGACCATAACGGCATTATCTACTTAATTCTCTAAATCGACACAGGAATTAACTGTATTTAGAAGAACATTTTATTATTAATTTTATTTCAATATTCAGTTTAAAAATTTAATGATTATTTTGACTGATTTGAGTATTGTTTGATAACAGTAGATTATTTTAAACTTGGATACACAATTTAGATACAAATTTGATATAAATGAATATCGATTGAAATGAAAAAAATTAAAGATTGTAATTAAAATTTTTATCTCGACGTCTGATTAGTTTTGATATTTTCTACTTGTACTATCATTCGCAAGTGTAGAATATTTCTTAAACACCATTCATAAATGCCAATTAAAAAGAATATACTTGATTATCGCACTTAATCTAATGTCGATATTATTCATTAATTAGTAAAATTATCAATTATCAATATCTCGAATCAAATTTAACTTTCTTTGAAAAATAATCACAAAAAAAATATGCAAAATATGATATACATATTTTTTTTTTTATTAAAAATAAAAGAATCTTAAACGCACATGTGAAATTAAAGAATTGAAGAAATTTATTAAAAAGAAATAATTTGTTTTGTTTAAATACTAAATCTAGAGTATTTCGAATGATAGCAAATCTAAAAGATAGAATCATTGCAATAGATTAAGAAGTATGGCATCTTTTAATACGGATTTATCGTCAAGGCTGTTTCTGTAGGTCGTGAGAATTTCGAAATATTCCACGATAAACTCAATGATGCACACTATCTCAGACGACAGCGATTAGCTTTATCAGGTGAAAACATCATCTGTAAATCTGTGATTTCATCAGAAGGACGATGTGGATACGCCGATCGATACAAACAGATAATTATTAATCGTAGAAAACTCGAGACCCAGGAATCAAAGAAGCTCAGTTTGATTAGTTTCATCGAACAGCTTTATGTGCGGTATATCGATTAAAACAGATGTTTAAAATTTTCTCGTATATTTCGTAATTGCAGATAATGACGAACTTTTTATATGAACTGTTTACTTTTGCTTCTTTTTGCAACGACGAACTGATTAAATAATGATTATTGAATTCATATTATATTATTATTATATTAACGTATTAAAATACACCTCTTTCAATTTTTTTGAAGGAAAAAATTACTAAAATATAGAATATAATCTCTTAATAAGTAATAGTTATTAAAAAATAATTTCATCATTGTAAATTTTTATTCTAAAAAAAAAAAAAAAATTCTTTTCAGTATTCTATATTCATGATGTTTATTACTCACTTGTATCGCGCAAAGAGGTACACATTTCAAAAATTCAAGAGATCATAATTAAAATATTGTTTTCGATTGCCTGGCAATCGTTGATATAAAGTGTTGGAAGATTGCCCAATTTTAGTCAATGAATTTTCCGCTAGTAAAGGAAAGATTCCCTGCATCCATAAGTTTGTAATCGCGTTCAACTCGTCGACTTCTGGCAAGGATTTCCTCGCGGAACCAAACTAATTTCGATCCCGCCACGTGCTTCCTTCTTTGCGCCCTTCTTCCTCCTCTCCCTTCGCCGCCGGAGAATTTATTAGCAGTCGTTATTTACCCCCTACGAATCTTCCGCTCGTATACAAATGATTTATGGCCGGTCGTTTCTGCGAATTCTCGCGCGATACGTGCTTTTTATACCATTTCAATTTATCCCCTCGCGACGACACCCTCGAATCGGAAGACTCCCGGACCAGAAGTGGCTCGACTATTGAAAATGGTCGGGCGTGGATCACATGCTCTTAATTGCGCTAAAAGCCATCCATCATCCCTACGTTTTCCCCTTTTCTTCGTTTCGCGAAGAAGATTTATATGGCTCCGCTTACATACGCAGTTTCTTTAGATATCGATGCCTTTCTGCAATAATGAAAATTATAAATGGGATTAATATCTGTTGAAGACGAATTAGAGGTTCTTAGATTTTAACATCAGAATTATTATACTGGAAGTTTTTATGACAAAGAGTTTTCTATGGAAATAGTTAAAAATAATCATGCACACGCCGAAAAATAGTTTGCAATCCTCTGTGAGAATTTTAACTTGGGCGGTTATGAATGCAGATTTTAAAATCATATCTCGAGGCACGTTTTTTCCCTTATTGACGTTTTCACACACTTTGGTGCGAATAATTGGTATGCTATTGTAGAACAGATTCTCGGGGATCCGCGAACGTCCACGATTTTCTGAACCGTTAGAAAAATTTTCTGCACCCATACTGGAGAGGTCTCGAATCGCTCGATGGTCGATTGATTATGAATCGCGCGTTGCGAATCGTCTGGCAAATGGCATCACGAAAGGAGGCTAGTGTATTTAGTACTTCGTGAGGCCATGAAACCGTAATGTCATGAATTTTTTTTCTGTTAATTCTGTTCAATTATTGAATATTTATAATTCGTTTCTAAGTAATATTTATGAAATTATGATTAATTGATTTCGTTTATTCCATTAGAATTTTGTAAATTAAGATGAATTTGGATAAAATTATTGATAAGTAATAAGACAAGTGAATGCTTGATATGATACATACAAGTCACTAGATTTATCAAAAAGATTCATCACTATTATTTTTCAGAAAAAAAATATTCATAAAAGAAATGTTATTAAATTCAGAAATAGGGTTAAGTCGAACACGGTTGACGAGTGATGAGTCGCCATTTAGTCGAAAGAGGAGGACGGTCCTTCGAATAAAATTGCTAGACATATAATCTGGTTGGAAGACATGAAATAATACAGGACGGGTACACAAACGAGGACAGTTAACTGCAAGCTGCAGCGAATTCCACAATTGCTCTTTTATCGTGATCTTCAGAGTACCGGGCAGAATTACTTTATTACAGGGCTCAATTTGCTTTCAATTTTCCAGAGTTGCTCGCATGAGACGTATGCGAATGCTCGAGTACGTAATCCTTTGCTCGAGCTCATTAAACCGTAATTTTGTTAGGCAAACGTTTTGTTGACAACCACACGCGAATTATTAAAAAAAAAAAAAAA